CGCCAGATCGTCAAGTATCAGCCGCATCTCGCGTCTCCCCTCCAGTACACAGCACCGTAGTGTGGAGTTGCATTAGGTAATGCGAGATACGGCTGATACTTGCGCATTAGTTTCTGTTATGGATTAGTATCAACAGTCCTGCCAGTAACGTTACTATATTATCAATGCTACGTTAGTTATAGCCTGATATATGATAGCTAACTTCACAATGTTGTGATGTGACGTTAGCTAACATTCTGTAGCTAACGCCGGTCACTCACCAAAATAGCTGCCCAGTTCTCCACTGGTTCTCCACACACCACAGCTCAATTTATCTCCGATGGCCGTTATTTCTTCTAATCCTTGGCTGCTCCTGGTCTCTTGGACGCCTAGCAGGCTCATAATTATAAGGTTGTGGTCCGTCATATGCATTCGAATATTCATGTTCAACTTCTTCTGTGTCTTCTGTGTCGAAACTAGCATTGGGATCCATGTTTATTAATACGTTACACCGGCCGCTCTCCCCCTTGTGTCCCCCGTGTTACGTCACACGCGGGAGGTCACGTGCCGAGGCTTTTTTATGCGGAAGTGAACGTGTAGGTGTATATTTCTGTATATTTTTTTGAAAATCTAGTGTATTCATCATTTTCCTACACATTTATTCACAGGTGTCTTTAACCTGGAAGTTGCTCTTTAAAATATCCGTTAGCGCAGCTAGCTAACCAGATGCTAACAACAACAATGCAAATAGTGAGTTTGGTAGAAATATACTGTATAATAGTAAAGTGATTTAATATGATGCCATATTTATTGAAGACTTACATTACANTCTCCTCACACCACAGCTCAATTTCTCTCCGATGGCCGTTATTTCTTCTAATCCTTGGCTGCTCCTGGTCTCTTGGACGCCTAGCAGGCTCATAATTATAAGGTTGTGGTCCGTCATATGCATTTGAATATTCATGTTCAACTTCTGTGTCTTCTGTGTCGAAACTAGCATTGGGATCCATGTTTATTAATACGTTACACCGGCCGCTCTCCCCCTTGTGTCCCCCGTGTTACGTCACACGCGGGAGGTCACGTGCCGAGGCTTTTTTATGCGGAAGTGAAAATGTCTTACAAAAACGACGCCAGATGTCACTGTAGTGTATATTTCTGTATATTTTTTTGAAAATCTAGTGTATTCATCATTTTCCTACACATTTATTCACAGGTGTCTTTAACCTGGAAGTTGCTCTTTAAAATAAGCCCAATATGTCTTCTTTAAGTCAGAACTGATAAATAGAAAATATCTAGTTGAGTTACAGACATTATAAGTTATATACAGGACAAAAAGAGTATAACAGAAACATGTACAAAAGTAGTTTGCTCTCATTTCAGAGTTTCATTATAAAATCAATTAACTTGACTTGACTGTCCCACAGAGTTCAGTGACAGAGGTGAAGGCGGTGATCGAGACCCAGTTCGAGGAGCTGCAGGCCGTGATGGAGAGGGCGAAGCGGGAGGTGACGGAGATCCTGGAGGCCGATGAGAAGCAGGCGCTGAGGCAGGCCGACGGCATCCGGGTCCACCTGGAGCAGAGGTGCACGGAGCTGAAGAAGACGCAGGCGCAGGTGGAGAAGCTCTCCAAGAACAAAAATGATGTGGACTTCTTACAGGTAAGGAACAAAGCCAAGACAAGGACAAAGTGAAACCAAAGGCTAAAATCTTCTTATACCTGAATGTTGCTGTGTTTGTCTTAAAGGAGTATTCGGAGTGGAAGAAAGAGGCCACTGATAACTCTCTGCCTGGGGTCTCCATCGGCCTGATGGACCGTCTGACCTCCTTCAGCAGCGTCATCGTTGAGTCCACGCACGAGCTGTGTGCCATGCTGGTGTCTTCATACATAGAGAAAGTGAAAGAGACCTGCAAGAACGGTAGGAGAAACCAGAAGAAAAGATACCAGTAGGGGAACTCAAAAACCTTGACTTTATTGTGGACTGATAGTTGTTTCGCTGTCAGGACGTGTTCACACATGTAAAGAATTTTCAGCCTGTGTGTCATAGCGTTATCGCACAAATATGCTTTTAACCACCTGTTGGCTTCGAGGCACACCTATTTATGTGTGTCAGAGCCGACAGACAGCTCATACTAGTTTCCCTGTGATGCGTTCTTGTGCCAGCTGATGACAAAGCTAATAAATCTAACTTGAGTTATGTTCTAACTGAAATGAACTTTCTCTAATTACAGACAAAATGGGAATCAAGACAACAGTTCATGAAATTGTTGCAGCAAAACAGAACATGACTGTACCGGATCCAGTGACACACACCGACTTCCTCAAGTGTAAGTCTTTTCGGTAATTGAATATGAGCCATCTGGCTGAGAAACTGCAGTCATTGTTGTAGTGAGGAATTTAGAAAACATGAGATAATGAGTCCCCATTCCCTAGCATCCTGCTACCCTTAAATCCTTTTAAGAAAAGCAACACGTTGAATTTTATCGGAATTACATTTCCGAGAACATTGGAATGACTCAAGTTTAAAGGGGACACATTATATTTGTTGAGGGTTAGCCCTTTCGTGTAGTTTGTTATAGGTTTTTGTGCATGTAAATGGTCTGCAAAGGCTAAAATCCCAAAGTTCCTTCCAGAGGGAGTTTCTCTCCCACACACTCCCTTAAATATTAAAGCATGCAAACATGTCACAGTAGATGCACAAAATAGCGAGACAACAATGTTTAAAAGCACACCAATGTATAAATACTATATCACAAGTAACACGTTGTTTAAATACAGAAGTGTTATCAGCCAAGTTTTTCAAAAGTATAGGTTCTTGCTCTGCAGCAAAATGGGACATTATTAAGAGATGGAGTAACAACTTTGTATACAGTTAGTCCAGTGGTTCCCAACCTTAGGTTCAGGCCCCTCTGGAGGGTCACGAGATAAATGTGAAAAGGTCGTGAGATGATTAATAGCAGAGAAATGTAGGAAAAACAAAGTTATGATTCACACAGTTATGTTTATATTTTGGAATATGAAATCCCTTCCCTGTTTGGGCCTCAAAAACATGTTTCTTTGTACAAAGTCACAAGCCAAGGTTGTGACTGAAAATAAAAATGGAAACAAACAAAAGCAACACTTTATAGGGTATGACCTCTGGGACCTCAGTGCTATTTACACTCCTGACTAGTCTTACATAACTCTTACAACATATTACATTTACACAATCCTCTCCCAGATTCCACCAACGTGAGCTTTGATGCGGAGACCGCCCACAAGTTCCTGCGGCTGACGGAAGAAAACAGGAAAGTGACGAACACCACACCCTGGCAGCACCCTTACCCTGACGTACCTGAGAGGTTCGAGAACTGCCGCCAAGTTCTGGCGACGGAGAGCTTCTATCTGGGCCGCCACTACTTTGAGGTGGACATCAGCGGCGAGGGCACGCACTTGGGTTTGACCTACAAGAGCATCGACCGCAAGGGCAACGAGAGCAACAGCTGCATCACGGGAAACAACTTCTCCTGGTGTCTACAGTGGAACGGGCGCACCTTCTCCGCCTGGCACAGCGACGTGGAAACCCCTCTCAATGTGGAGAAGTTTACTCGTATCGGGGTTTACGTGGACTACTCAAGAGGCCTCCTGGCTTTCTACGGTGTGGATGACGCCATGACGCTCATACATAATTACAAGGCAGAGTTTCTTGAGCCTATTTACCCAGCTTTCTGGTTGTCCAAGAAGGAGAACATCGTCGCCTTGGTGGCACCAGGGGAGCTATTACGACTCAAAAGTCCCTCTCCTCCAACCTCACCTGCAAACGGAGCAATTGTTCCAAAAACAGCGGCATAACATTGATAAGAAGTCAGTTCTTTCCGGATCATTTATGTCACCATTCAACCTGGTGAGACTTAATCATGTTTTATCCCACAATAGACTTTATTTTAACTCTAAAATATGGACAGTCTTCCCATGGTAAACCTGTTTACAGCAACCTATTGTTTGGGTGAATTGTGAATGTTTATCATGTTTTTTTGGCCCAAGTCGTATTTATACTACTCTTCGTAGGGGACTTCTGTTACTTTGGTCTTACTGTGAATTCAGAGGTGTTCTATGTTTTCTCCTTGAAAATAAAAAAGTGCTACTTAGATTTTCTTTTGTGTCTATTTTTGTTCACAGCTTGAGCTTTCACACATCATTAAAATAACATCCTAAATTAAATAATTAGTGGGATAATTTTAACCATTATCGATTACTTTGGAAATTCTCCAAACGATGAATGGAAAATCTGTGACACAAGCCACACATTTTGGTCAACGTGTCGGGAAGTATTTGGGCTCTTGAAAAAAAAGAGAGATGTTGTTGTCATAATCACATATGGTAAGTTTTAATGTTTGCCTGTTTAAGAGCAAGTGGTGTATGATAATAGAGTGCAGTCTTACACATTATGATGTGATGTCTGTATGAAAAATGATGTTCACTCTAAAACGTCTAATTGAGCATAATACAAGTTTCCAAGAACCATTTTAACATTTGCCTATGTTTTAGAATGAATTGTAGGGATATTTTAAAAGTTTTTTAAAGCACCTAATAGTTTAGTATTGACATATTTTAAAGATTTGTCGTTTTGTAATATTTCACAAGCTCTCATTATTTCTGTTCAGTTTTTAAATACACTAACCTTCACTTGATATTTATTCCAATTTGTTTTTATTGTCTAATTTTATTCTTAATTTGTATTTGCCGATTGTTTTGTAGAGAACATTTGAGTTATATCTCTAGTTGTAAAAGTGGTCTATAAATAAAGCGTATTATTATTATTTTTATTCTTATTTATAGAAGCATTTTATTATTATCCAATAACATCCTGTGAGTAGAAATAGGCTACATGTATAGGTAATGTAGTATAACCATAACCTACATAATTACAAATTAATTACAAACAGTACTATGAATATATCAGTAATAAGATGCATCAAATATAGTCATACAATGTAAACACTACATTTCAATATATTTCATTACTGTCTTGACGTAGGGTACGTGGCACGCTTGGGTCACCTGACCACCTTATACAGTGACGTGATATCCAACTGAGCATGTAACCAGGAAGAGAGACTGCTACTGCAAATTTCATCATGCTAAGAGAAGTAAGTGACACATTTGTAATGTTCATCTATTAAATAAAATATATCATTCAGCTAATTTAGCCTCATATTGTAGGACCAATGACAGTTAATGAAATCGTAAACACGTAATATTCTCCAGCTGAGGGGAATATCTGTAGTGCTAAGTAGCTAGCTTGCACGCTAGCTGTTGTAGCTATTTACATTTCTACAGCTAACGTTATCTTGGCTTTACCTTTCCCAAACCACTAAACGATTACGTTAACTTGTAATAACATGTCTTGCTTGTTTACATATGTTCAAGGATAGTAGCTAATAGCCAGCTAACTTTAGCAAGTAGCTTTACATTTTCCAATTTAGCTTACGTTAGCTAAAGTTAGCTACATGGTCCCGTCCTTATAATCATTAACAAACACCTACGACAACACTGGGAAACCGGACGTTGACTTGTTGTGTGTTTATTAGCCATTTTTATTTTAGCAAGCGAGTATCTTCGGTGTATGGATAAGCTTTGAGCAGTTGACTGTTCTTAATCAAAATACACTCTTACAATTATTTGCTAAGTATTTTATTTTACACATTTGTATTGTTATTTTTCTGGTTCTATTATATTCTCGACTTCAGCTTTGACTGTGTTAATTTCACCCTGATGCGTTCATTGTATGCATCCCATTGTAAACACCTGTTCCTGATTATGAAGTCTTGTAGTAACTCAAATGTAATGTTCTGGATTTAAATAAACATGCAGTTACCTCCGATGTTCATATGAGCCATGAATAGTGTGTATGGAAACAAAGATGAAGCCTTAGTTGAAATATGTCTGTGTACTGAGTCTCTGTGGGTTTATCCTCTTCCTTATTGATCCCTCAGGATAATGATGAAGACGTGTCTCTGTTTGACGCAGAGGAAGATGCAGGGAAAAGGTCAAAGAAGTCAAATATGAAGTAAGTTTACAGAGGACCGATTGCTATTACTGTATCTCAGTGCTTGCTTATCACTTAAACAAAATATGTGATAGTTGCAACTTCTCAAATTAAAGGATTATTTTCATATATATAGATAGCAGTAGTGGAAAACATGTTTGAGTAAAAATACTAATGTCATATTGTAAAAACACTTTCTGTACTTTGTTCAATTTATTTTGTTGCACCAAACATCAAGAATTTTTCTTTTATTTACATAAATAAAATAAAAATTATGAACTTGCATCCCTGCCGTACTGCAACATTGCATTAAATGTGTTGAAAATCGTTTTTTTAGGCATCCACTGGCCTGCTTCTTCCACCTCTTCTTCAGAGTCAGCGCCGTCATCGTGTACCTGCTCTGTGAGATTTTCAGCAGCACATTCATCGCATGCATGGTCACAATAATCCTCCTGCTCTCATGTGACTTCTGGACAGTAAAGGTGTGTCTTGTCACTTTACACAATACGTTTTAGTCAATTTAGTACTCTTTAGTCGAGAACAGGAAATATTTTCATAATGCTGATGTTAATTTAAGACCACAAATATAATGTGTATTAACAGAACATCAGTGGGAGGTTGCTGGTGGGTCTGAGGTGGTGGAACCAGGTGGACGATGATGGACGCAGCCACTGGGTGTTTGAGTCTAGGAAGGTAAGATTTGTTGCTTTGTGATGTGTCTCAATATGACCAATTACATGTGCCATTGTGAGGGCATACGTGCATCCCAATACGAAATATGGCACTTATAATGGTCAGTAAGTTGTCACACTTAACAACCACCATCTTCACTACAGTACATAACGGAAGTTGCGGGACCAGCCGCAATTGTGTAGAAGTGTTTATTATTTAATATTTGAATACACATATTAATGTACTACTGATGAAAAGGAGCCATTGTTAATTTGATTGGGTTAATTGAACATTCTGTAAGGATTTGCTACCATGAACAATATTAGTTGCTAGCTAGCTAGCTAACAGCAGCAATGGTCACTTAAGCTGAGGTCACAGCAGTGGCTTGCGATTTGAAACAAACAACATGGCCGAGATTCAGACACTGCACAAGTGTTCACAGTGTACGATATGACGGCATACTAAGAAGAGTATCTACATTGAAACACAGTGTTGGTGTTTAAGCAGTGGTGCTGTCCCAAACGTGGGACTTTAACCCCTCATGATACTGACCTCTTGTACTCTATGGAGATGATATATGTACTTTTTTTCTTCTCAACAATCTTTAGAGTATTTGCAGATGTCCTAACTGTGAGAATATCCTGTTTTTCTTCAGGGGACCGTGAAGCAACAAGCGTCAGATTCTGAGTCCCGAATCTTCTGGATTGGTCTGATCGTTTGTCCCATTCTCTGGGTCATCTTTGCTTTCAGCACCCTCTTTTCCTTCAAACTTAAATGGGTGGTAAGTTCTCAACTTTAAAAGATAAATATGTGTTTTGTATTATTCTTATCTCAACAAATTCCATAAAAAGCCCAATGTGCTCACAAAATTACACCACACCAAATTCCATTCTAAAATTGAACACTTTAAAGTTTATTTAAATATATATCAGATATTTTTCCCAAAACACTTCAGGACTAAAAGGACGTCACTTCCAGCAAGCTGAACTGAAACAATAAGGGCAAAACAGCATCCCATATCTGTTTTTGATCCAACCTCTGATGTTGCACAGCAAACAAAAGTTGGCATTTTAGAAGAGCATGTTTGTCACTGGTAGACTACCAACACGGCTATCTTGACTTCATTTGATAACTGACATCAGCAATTTAAATAACAGAAACTTAAATATCCTACTGTTAATACAGAGTAACCACAGACACTTGGCCATTTCATAAAAACACTGGAATGGATATTTGGGGATATTTTTGGCACTAAACAAATACTTTTTGTTGCCTTGCGTGGGTTCCCTAGAGCCTGCCAGTCTGCAATTCCTTAAAATAAATTAAAAAAACAGCTTTTGTTGTGGACTATTTTCAGTGACGAACCAATCCACATTTGGGTCTCTGCAAACTATTTGTGGCAGCAGGGTGGTGTATGTGTGATTAAGTCACAATAAACTACAGTGTATTTCTATGATAATGAAGTCAACAGCATGGCACATTGATGTGTTTTTAACAGTTTTTCTGACAACAATGGCACAAAGGAAGCAGATATATCAGGCTTTGGTACACACAAAACGTGTTGGCAGATTCATGATGGTTGGTTTTGGTCTTAATGTGGGATTTATTCATCATGAGAGAATTATCATTTTGGCTAGTGCTGTCAAATCAAACTGTGACTGTCCTCTTCCACACAGCCGGTGGTGATCATGGGAGTGGTGCTACAAGGAGCCAACCTCTATGGCTATGTGAAGTGTAAAGTGGGAGGCAAGACCAGCCTCAAGAATATGGCTACAAATTATTTTGGACGACAGTTTCTCAAACAGGTGACTTACATTTTGGGTAATATACTGTGAAGTCACATTATTTGTTGTTTTAAAAATTCTCACTTGTGTCATGTTTATCATCCACAGGCGATGTCTAAAGAAGAGGAGTCGTAGGGTGCCGCTCTGCGATTTTAACTTGTTTGCATTATTCTTAATGCTATGATATCAATTATTTTACCAAGTGGATCCGTGGGAAGACATCTTTTTTGCTATATGAACTGATACAAATTGTGTTTTTTTTCTTACTAATGTACTCTGTGACTCAACCAGTCCCCATATGGAGTTTTCTTTGTTTTCCACAGAGGTGTGGCAGTTGCTTCAAATTACTGGAGACCAGCAATAAACCCTCGCTGACTTTAACTGATACTTAAGCGTAAGTGCATGAGTAAAAAAAAAAAAAAAGGGCGTAATGGCTTGAAATGTTAAGCTGACTAGTTTGATGTGTCATGTAGTCTCTCAGCTCACTGATGTATCTTATTTAGTTTGTTTTAATGATTTGTTTTCTTCATTTTTATCTTTATAACACTAATAATGTGGTTTCTGGGAGGTATTGTACAAACATTTTTGTTTGTATAACAGGCGAGTTTGTAAAGTAACAGTGTTAAGTATTTCAGGAGTTTGTAAATATGTATTTAAAGAAACTATGTGGAACACCTTCTTATGTGCAAATACATTTGTAAAATTTTTCCGAACAGCGTGGTTGTTTTTATTTCTGATAAAAGTTGTCATTCACTGCTCAACTTGTGAAAAGGAATGATTTTAAAAGTCAGGGAGTTTAACTATGTAAACTCAAAGTGAAATAAGACCATATGAAGAAAAAACGACATGAATTAATACAAACAAGGGCCGAGATTTTGTTGCATTTCATTTTTGATTAACTCCAGCATTTTCTTTTATTACAAACATAATTTTCTAAAAGACTGGTTTCGATTCCCAATGCCACTTTAAAATCACTAAATCCTTGTCTTCAATCAAGATAACCATGTGTGACTATCTATCACTTTAATCAGATTGAGGAAAAAGCTTAGGGGAACATTTTGAAAATAAAAATAAAGTAAACTGAGATAATCAGTATTTGCCATTGGAAAACCGTGGATCATTGTGGAAAACAGTGGATCATTACAGCGACTACCAGAGGTTTGTTTGTCATTGAATGAAATTGCTTTATGTTGTCCTTGCTAACCGATAGAGTTTGGATAAAAGACCTGGCAGATACCTCACAAATACTATGCAGATTAATGTATCAATTATTAACTACATTATTGTATCAACCAAAACTGAAATAGCGCTAGTTTGGTTCCAAACACTCCCAGGATGAGACGGACACGGAAGAGAAGCCTTGAGTGTACTTGTAGACCGGAACTAAGATGTTATTTTCAAAATAAAGACGATTCACATTTCATCTAGTAAACAATCAAATATGCATTTTATTGAGCGGTACATTTGCAAACATGATTAACACACAAAAGTAAAATTGACTTAAATTAAGTAACTTAGTAACCACATATCTTTGTTTGGACGACTAATTTAAAACTGTATATTTTAGTGTCACGTTTGTTGAAAATTCTTTAATAGTGGATTATAAATATAACTTACATTTAGGCTTATTATCAATTTATTTGTTTAGTATGGTAAGTAATTTCCATTTGAAACAAAGTCTTGACACATTTCAATAACAGTGTCTTTTACTTTGAAACTCAAACCGGAAAACTCTTGTAATCGTAAAACTGTCTGATTTCGTTACTGTTAGCTAGCCACAACAGTACGTTTTGCTCGTCATTGTTGTCATTTTAAAGACTTTAATCGAGCTTTTAATCTTTATAAATACACTGGTGGCCGTCCTGTGATGGGCATTACCTCCAGGATGATTCCTACCGAGGATGCGTCCGCCAGGAAGCGGGAAATAGAGGAGAAACTGAAGCAGGTCAGTTATGGCTGGAGAGGAAGGAAGCATCACTGACGAGCCTTTTAGTGGAATATTTATTTAACCTGCTGTATGAATTGTAATTATTAGTACATATAACATGCTAACTCCCACTGACAGCGTGAGAATGTGAAGTTAATATTTTTCTGTGTGATGTTACAGGAGCAAGAGACGCTGTCATTCATCCGAGAAAACCTGGAGAAGAGTGATCAGCTGACCAAGGGCATGGTATATACACACACACACACACACACACACACACACACACACACACACACACACACACAGAGATGTACCGTATACCAGTAAACACCTACATTCAATCGTACATAAGGAACTGTTACCAAGTCCCACAAACTAACTATTTTTTTATTCTCCTCCTAATTAACGTACCCTTTTCATTGTAAATGTTTTCTATTTGTCCTTTATTTTGACTTAACTTAGATTGATTTCTGCACAAGGAAAAAAAAGATATTATAGTTTCCATGTCCAGTCGTAAAAGGTCTACATATAGTGTTTTAAAAAGTAAAACATTCAAGAGATCCAAGGCTTTATATTCATATGCACAATAGACACAACACAAATAATACAATGGTACGGGTGAAAATGTAGAAATAAGAAAACAATGCCAACCAATGATAAGATATAACAGAATACAAAAATGAAAGTAAGAAGCAAGGCTCATGATCTCCAACTGGGTTTTAACAAGTCTTTATAGTCTGTTTTCCAGGTTTGACAAGTCTAAGCACATCCATTTTAATCTAGCTAGTGCTTCGATTTAAAAAACCCTCCTGCTCTTCAGATCTCAGCTTCAAACACCAAAAACAAAAAAGAAGAGATGGGATGTTATGGTCTTTGTTCTTGTTTCTTGTCGGCAGATAAATACTTATTATGATTTTGTTTCTCCAGGTCTCCATCCTGTCGTCGTTCGAGAGCCGTCTGATGCAGCTGGAGAACTCCATCATCCCGGTGCACAAGCAGACAGAGAACCTGCAGCGCCTGCAGGAGAACGTGGACAAGACTCTGTCCTGCATGGACCACGTCATCAGCTACTACCACGTGGCCAAAGACACAGACAGGATCATCAGAGAGGGGTGAGACTGAGGGGATCGTGGGTTGTTCTGCCTGATCGGCACAACAACAACTTCCATTTCTAGGCAGAGTTGATGGATTTTGAGCAGATGTAGAAAACTGACGTATCCTTAATCCTTTTGTTTCAGTCCGACAGGCAGACTGGATGAGTACCTTGCTTGTATTGCAAAGATTCAGAAAGCTGTGGAATATTTCCAGGATAACAACCCTGACAGCCCCGAACTCAACACAGTGGTACAGTATTCAGCTTTATTTGAATATTTATGTGAATTTTGGTAAACGATTACATGCCTCATTGCTGAGATTTAGATATAAGTTAACTTTTGTATACGTATTTAAAACAAACCAGATAATGACACTATCTTTCTCCTTACATCTAGCCTTTAAGCTAAGTGGCTCGAGCTTCACATTTAACATACAAATATGACATAAGGATGGTGTCAATCTTCATTTCTATCTATTTGCAAGAAAGATAATAAGCGTCATTCCAAAATGTAAAAGTATTTCTTCATATTTGACACAGGTTTTTTTTTCCTTCTTGGTGGCTTTAAAACTAATGAATTGCATCCTATTCCTCACATTGTATTCCTTTGTAGCAGTGATCTTTGATTATTGTCTCTTCAATTATTAATGCCATGATTGGCCTTGTAAATATATCTCTAAAATATTTTACTACCAAAAGTCTAGGACGTGCTGGGTGCAGAAAAATCTGTGTAAATGAGAAAAAAATCATGCCGTTTGTTGTTTAAATGTAAAACTGACCTTAATTACATTGAAATAACCAGCCAGATATACATATCACAAGCAGTGTAGGTTTATACATTTTTTATGTGTAAGAGAACAAAAGTCAAATTCCCAGGAAATTGACCAATGTTTCCTTTGTGCAGAAAGCTCGCTTTGAGAAGGGCAAAGAGCTGCTGGAGGCGGAGTTCCGCAGCCTCCTGACCCGCTACAGTAAACCCGTTCCCCCCATCCTCATCCTGGACGCCATCAGTGTGGACGAGGAGCTGGAGGTCCAGGAGGATGTGGTGCTGGAACATCTGCCAGAAGCTGTGCTCCAAGACATCATCTGCATCGCCGGCTGGCTGGTGGAGTACGGACGCAACCAGGGTGGGTTTCCTGCTGGGCTCTGCATACTGTTCCTACTCTAGCTTTCCTTCCTTTTGTCTTTTAGTTTTCCTGTATTCCATGTCTCACACAGAGAGAGATATTGTGTTCAGGTGGGAAAACCAAAAAACATCTCTCCTGAAATTACGCTGTGTACTAGCTAGGGATGGGTACCGAGAACCGGTACTAATTCAATACCGGTAGCTGATTGGACGGTATCGGTATACCGTTAAGCCGCTGGACAAACGGTGCTGCTATCGGTATATCTGTTACGTCTACTTCCTTAGTTTAACTTTAAACCATTCTGGTTGGTTGGGAACCCTCATCCCGTGTGATGTATCCGGTTTGAGACCCCTCTGATTGGCCACTGTAAATGCCACTCCTCATCTCTCTCAACAGCGCTCTTATTATTGTTGAGAGACTCCCGCAGGCATGGCAGACAGAGCGAAGCGATCCAAGGTCTGGTTGCACTTTAAAAGAATGTAGTGGCGATAGTGCAAGGTGCAATCTATGTACTCAATTAGTTGCTCGTAAAGGGGGTAACACAAGCAACTTAATGAAGCATTTGCAACCAAGACATTCATTGAATCGAAAACGGTGCTAGCGATAGTGCTAATAGTGCTAATAGTGCTATCGGGCATTCAGCTCCGGTATTTGTTTGTCGCGGTGGTTTATGTTGTTCCTGCAGTCTTGATACATGAATCGTACACCCTGAGTTCGATAAAGACTATCGCCAAGGCACCGATACCTCGTCTTGCGATTCAGCACCGAAATATGGTTTTGGGCTTTCACCCGCGGCTCTGAGGTGCCAGTTCGACTTGCCGAGGAGCAATATAACTTCGCCTTTTCTTTGCTTTTTTAGCACTTCTTTTGGCAACTAGAAGAAACATTCGCGGTGGTGGCGCAAGTCATTACTGCTCTATGAGTCCAATGGGTTCGGGCGGCGTTACCCAGTTCGTGGTGTGCGCGGCCTCTCGACTAATTTTTTCACCATCACCTCACCGGACCGTCACGAAATACAATCTAAGCCCGTCCCCGAAATTAATGTGGACCGTCCCGAATTTAAAATATTAGTTTTTCCTACATTATCATTAGTTAAATTCATTCAAAGTGACCTTTAACAATAAAAAAACATCATACAATCTAGATGATGATTCATCAACCTTTTATTTGAAGAAATCAGTCAACACATAGAAACAAAGGCCAAATATATTAAAAAAAAAACACACAAAACGAGAAAGTTTACTCTAATTGAATCCAATCAAGTCCCATCCAACTAACAAAAAAATCCAACACACCTGTCCTGACAGAACCAGAGTAACCAATAACCAGGATGACAGTCGTCTGTAACACAGTCAGGAGACCTTTTACAAACTGCCCCCCGCCCCCTTGCACACAGACGCCTGGATTGGAAAGATCGAAAATACATCATAGACGCCATTTTGTAGGCTTATTGCATATTAGAAATGAGTTGGGCGAAACTAAAACTGCCGATATAATGTTTTATGTAGCAATAATCACCAATACGTATATTTTTTAAATGTCTCCACTACCTATAACGTCGGAGCTTAACAGTACCACGTTCTTTTTAATAATTCTGGCCCGGGGGCCGTTTGATACAGGGGCCTCGGTACCCATCTCCCTACATGGGGAGAGCGCGCAGCATATTTGCTTATGGACTGAATGCGGTGGAGAGTTCTCATTATTTCTCGCGGGCAGGGAATTGCCGGGCAGCTGTGCCGCTGGCTGTCAGTATACGTACCGTCTGTGGTGTATGTGTTGTGTGTGTTTTATTCGGCGGGTTTGCTAAATGTTTTGTGGGTGTTACTGTTGACCAAGCGTAGGGTTTAATACTGTGACTCACACAAAACGTGGCAGTCAGTTTAATTTTCATCGCTCTCGTAGTAGAGTTAACAGGCCTATTTTTATTTTAACTCTCGTCCCAAATTCGCGCCAACATTTTTTTTATCCTGCCCCAACTATATTTTTTCGGCGACCCCGGGACGACGCGGGACGCCTCCTTAAGCTGAGCCCTGTTGCGGCTGCCAGTAAACCAAAAGCAAGAAGAAGAAGAGCCAGTGGTGACGGTCTCAGCCCGGCTTCATTTTGCGCGTAATCCTCCCTCAGGCGAACTTTTCCGTTGTTAACGCGATCTAACTCAGAGTAGTTCCGGAAATAAAAGGCGCCTCTTTCACACCACGCGGAGAGCTATACTTTTCCCAGGAATAGTTCAGATAGTTCCTTGGAATTTTGCGTCACACCAAAATATCTGGAACTAGGATCTTTCTTTTTCACACCCTTTTCCAGTCCCTGCTAGAGAGGTGGGTACTTTCCTTGGGAGGAAAAGGTTCCATTTCTGTTGGCTGGCGAATTGCAAACCACGCCCTGTAAAACTCCTAAATGGTTTGTGAGCTGCCATTTTATTTGCTCGCATTAGCATTATTAGCAATTAGCCAGCGCACCAACCGGAGAGGACTAACTTATGGCTACACCAAATTAAAAACATGGGGAAGTTGGTGGAGTGATGAAGGAGGTGTCGGCACTTCTGCCGATTTACCCGGGACTTCGGGTGGGCGATTTAATGCCATTCGATGTCCCGGAGTCCCCCAGTATACGCCGTGAAGTTGTTTGCGGTCCTGCTGCATAGTTTCCCAGGAATAGTTTCCTGGAAACTAAGTTCCGGGAACTAATTCCCTGGGAAAAGTACTTGGTGTGAAAGCGACACACAAAACCAAAGCCGCTTTCACACCGCAGGGACTTGCCCGTTACCTTTAGTGCCGGCACTAAAGTAACCACGGCACTGGAACCTCCGCCAGGGGGCTAGTGCCAATCGCATTCACACCGCAGTATTTCCCCTGAGGGCAAGATTACGCTGACGTCACTTCGTCTTCTTCTTCTCTGGGTTTACTGGCAGGCTTTGCAAAACACTTCACGGCGGAGTACAAAAAAAACGAGAGAAGAAGAACTACACGGGGAGGGTATAAAGCCACCCGCTGTAATTGATATATATATATATATATATATATATATATATAGGTAGGCTCAGCAGACAGACCGTAGTGCAAAGATAAAGTGTCACATGATTATCTACTAAATAGTGAATTCAGCATCAACTTCACCAAGATGAAGTTCATATCTTCCTAAGATACGTGTTACTTTATGTCCCTTCTAGAATCCGAGCTCAAATGACTCAAACCAACAAAATGTCCAAGCAAAGAATCATGTGCACCATGAGGCTGGGTTATAAGGGTAATTTACAAATAAAATAGCCTATTATAACAATGGACTTTATCTTTATGTATGTATTATATATTACCCCCTCAGGCTGATTTTGGAAAAGGACATTAACCGTTGTTTGGTGTTTTTCCCTTATTTAACTAAAACAAATGACATGATAAATTACTTGTGTTTATGTGTGTAAGACTTGTGTTTATGCCCCTGCCATTGCTGCACAAGGTTGCAACATTGTAGATAAATTCAACCACCGACACCTGTCTGCTCTCACATTCTTCTATTCTGCAAATTTGGGGTGGGACACAATAAATAAAACTTCGCCAGTTTGTTTGTTTTATTGCACAGTCAAGACATAACAATAACGGCATCACGCCGCTCAAGTAGCTTTTGCGAACATCGCTCAAAACATTTGGAGTTGGGAACTGCTTTCTGTAGAAGCTGCTGCATCCCGTCCTCAGAGTAAATTGCCAGAATCGCCGACACTTCCTCACCATTCCACCGCTCCGATGTTGTAGTACTTGTGGTCATAACTGCTTTAAAGTACAAAAAAACTACTCGCTCAGGTGTGGATATGGTTTTGTAGCGAGGAAAAAAAGGTCTGCCTAACAAAAAAAATTCAGAATCTAACGGGAATAATAGAAATAGAATAGAAATTGGCACTCTTTTATCACCAGGTTCGTACCACCTCTCTAGCAGGAAAATGGCCAAAAGAGTTCCCGGCACTGAGTAGTCCCGGCGGTGTGAACGCGACATTATTGGTACTAACGGAACTAAAGAACCAAAGTACCAGGGAAAGTCCTGCGGTGTGAATGCGGCTAATGTCAAAGAACTTGTTTTCTCACAATGCCTGTGCTTAGCCAAAAAGTCCTACTTGAACACGCCGTAAAGACTACAGCCAACGTAAGTTCTGCACGTGTATTAAGGGAAATACCGTTTTGGCAACCATTTTCACACCACTTTAACTCACTTCTTAGCCTTTTTTCAGATGGCCCTGGCTTTGTGAAAATATCCGTGTTTTAGAATGATCAGATGAGATGAAGACGAACAATTTAAATAGACTCCATGTGTGCCCTATTGAATTTCAATGTTTACATTACATAGCATTTAGCTGACGCTTTTATCCAAAGCAACTTACAATAAGGGCAATAAAGATCAAACTAAGGACAACAATCCCCACGGGAATTAATAAAGGTCCACCTTATCTTATCTTAACAAGCTGAACAGATAATCAGTTGTTTGTTGTGAAAAGTGTTGTGGAGCACATTGCAAAAAACACACGTCAACAAACGCTCATCGACGTCTCCAACTTTATGGCCGTTTAAAGATAAAGCTTCATATTTGAAAGGAAAACCTAATTTTTGTATCCATGTATTTTGTCAAAGTAACTAATAGAGACAACTATTTTTGAAATTGAACCAGAGAGCGAGGCAGCTGCTGGCGCTATTTGCAAAGCAATTCAGTTTTATTATTTTGTAGGTTGAATTCCCTAATGTTGTCAGACATTAATAATAGTAACAACAGACAAAAACAAGCACTTTTAGTGGACCGACATTGCGCAGTTAGCTTTTTGGGGTAATATTTCAGCCCATTAATGGCTGCAGAGCTCTCTTGACCAATGTCAAAAAAAATGTTTTCTCCATGACTCACTTAGACACATAAATGAGACATCATCATTGGTCCTGTATTGAGGGAGAGCACTGCCTCGAGCAGGCACTTAACAGGCCGCATTGTAATCCTTATAGGCACTTCAGTTTTATTTATATCTTGGGTTATTTCCATTATGTTGTCCAACACTTATAATAAGGATCTTAGCCTCTGTGGCAAAACAAGCATTTCGAGTAGACGTACATTGACGGTGCTTAATTGCTGCCTGCCATTGTAGCCCTTTAAGATGCTCCAGCTCCATCAGTTAATACTCGACTAATTATAACAATTGGTTTTCCCCATCACTTTAAAAGAATATTAGGGTCTAGGTCAGGGGTCGGCAACCCGCGGCTCTCGAGCCGCATGCGGCTCTTTAAGCCCTCTACTCTGGCTCCCTTGAGCTTAGACAAAAATAAGAAGGAAATAAAATACAATTATTTGTAGGACTATTTATATTTTGTTGCACGGTTGAAAATGTTTCGTATCTTGTATTTTGAGGTGATACTGTGACACGTAAAAAAAAAAACGGTTTTAATTAGGTCAACTCAAATATGCGTCACATCCTGCTACGGTCCCGCACCAGCGCCTTTTCTTGCAGGCGAATACCCTGACCCCCGGCTCGATGAGCGAACTATGGATAAATCAAAGAAAAGAAAAGTACCGGAGGAACATAGGATTTAATTCTGCGTGGACAGAGTTATATGCTTTCACAGCAAACGATGCTGGCTTACCGGTATGTTTGATATGTAGAGAGAAGTTGTCAAAGGTGCTGCAGCCTTTACGTATTGGAGGAAAAACACGGAAGAGGAAGGCAGCTGACGATCTTCAGTCATAATTCAATCAGTAAGCTCTTTTTAGGGTGCAGCTATATTTTATTTATTTCAAAGTGGGCCCATTTTAATTATATTCATTTTCTTCAAATGTGCAGAGGACTCCCCAAGTGCTGTGTTGATTTATTTTAAAGTAGGCCTGTGTATTTTTTTTAATTCTCCTTGTAAGAGTTCTTTGTTTCTTATTAGAGGTTCTTAACAGTTTTCTATAATGTAAAATAATAAATGCAAAAAAACTGTAGTTTTTGTCTATGACGTGACAATATATACAACTTTATAAGCTATCAAGCTATGAAATATGTTTTGCGGCTCCAGACAAAAGAAATTGGTGGAAAAGGGGGCAAAATTGCTCTTTTGGTCAAAAAGGTTGCAGACCCCTGGTCTAGGTTGAAAAAGGCCATCCTGAAGCAGTGCTCCAATAAATCATCATTGGTCCACAATGGAGCGAGAGTGCCGTAACCCATAAGGCTTTAGCGATCTTGCTCAAGTCAGACTGATTTAAAAATGTTTGAAAAGTACTGATGCTATTGCTCAATACTGGACCAATATCAAAAGTCTTCTTTTTCTGATGATGTCCAGTTTTTTGTCAAAAATGACTGAAGTTACCCCATGCACCTCGACCTTACTCTTAAACTCTTCTTCTCTTTCTTGCAGATTTCATGAACGTCTACTTCCAGATCAGGTCCAACCAGCTGGATCGCTCCATCAAAGGCCTTAAGGATCACTTCCGCAAGAACAGCGCCAACTCTGGGATCCTCTACTCGCCCGCCGTCCAAACCAAACGCAAGGACACGCCCACCAAAAAGGCCCCCAAGAGACCAGGTCAGCAGCAGACGACACCCTGCACACTGCACTCCTCTCAACACTCTGATTTACAAGCCTCTCCTTACAAGATTAGTCGAACAAACAAGCATGATTCTGCATAATGTTGATTATTTCATTATAGCCGCACCGTCACTCCATTGTTTGATCAGATCACCATCCAGCCACATTATTCCGTTTCAAGCATCCTCCACCATCTTTTGTAATGATCCTATTCACTAGCACTCCACGCTGTGTTTCCTTTTGATTTTACATTCATCTCCAACTAATCCTTCATCCTTTTCCTCTTTTATAATCCCTATGTTGTGATGACAGTCTACATCCCAGGTAAACAGAAAGCTTTAGTGTGCCTCCTGCTTGCTTCTGTCTATCCAATGTGAAACTTCAAGGCAAATAAAAGGCAGCATGAGTTTGTTTAGCTGTGAGAAGCAGGATGTTAGAAGTGTATTAGTTCTCAGGAGACATGTAGTATGTTGTTGGTTGTCCTCTAGTTTCCCTGTTGTTAATGAACTGCTGGAAACTTCCACAGCGGTATGTGATTGACAAAGTGGAATTTATTAAAAATAATGACTTTCAACCAGCTTTGAAATAGATTTGACTGGCAGCTCTGTGACAGAAACGTGCTCCCTCATGCTAAAAATAAGTAAATGTATCTCCCATGCTGTCGTGACTGTATGTCTATATTATATCACACATACGTGGGGTGTGTTTTTGTATGTGGAAGGGAGAAGAAAAGAGCAAAATATTCAAGAGTTAAGCTTCTACTTTGAAAAAGACAGTCAAACCTATACCAATTACAAAAAATAAATGTAATACATTAATAATAAAGAACATTATTTACAAAGACAAATTACAATTGAAATAACAGACCACCTCAGTGTCACTGATAATATTATGAGTATACAATTGAAGTCCTTTAAGAATCCAAATCAGAACACTATATATATATATATACTATGCTGGCAGGAAATAGGGTTATGTGACAGTTGCTCCACTTTAGAATAGAACAAAACAAATCAATAAAGATATTTTTAAATAATATTTTTTTAAACATGAGCAGTTAAAATATAATATAAAACAAAATAGCATAAAAAAATGTGAAATAAAAAATAGAATACAAATATTTATGTAAACATAAGGAGTTAGGGTAAGTAACAATTCAAAAAGCATAAATATGTACAAATATGTATATTACAATATATACTTTTGGTGGTTTATTACTATTATTAATAAATATATTATTGCTAAATTTAAAAGAATTTGAGTTGCCGATGGTTCGGTAAGAACAATGTTAGTCTTTTGACTCGTAGTGCCTGAAATAAAGTGTCATATACAAGCGTGTTCCCAATAAATGATATATATTTAAAAGAATGAAAACACTGGTATGCTCATAGGCATACACAAAACATCTCATCCGCCTCTGCGAAATTAGAGCTTGCAGAGTTTTCAGTGTGTGTGTGAATGAAGTGTGCAGAGTGTGTGTGCTGTGACAGAACTGGGTGTAGTGTTGATCAGAGATAACAATTATACAGCTGAACCTCAGGCCCAATTCCGTCTGCACTGAAATAATGAAACAGCCTTTTTTATTTATTAAATTCAATTTATTCTTTTGTTGAAAGTTCAGATTTGAATGAGCTCCACCAACAGCTTGGACATGCTATTGTTTGTGCGGTAACATAACAGCGCCATTACAAGAAAAATGATATAGTCAGGAGAAATGTCCTGGTAGTGAAGCGTTTGGACATATTCTAACCCTCTTGAAAGCTTCACTTATCACTATTATTATTATAAATGGATTAGATGACTGTGATGTAAAACATGTCGTTTACAGTGATGATACTCTATTAGCTCCTTTTGGTTCTACAGAACCTTTACTGCATGTTCCTGTTTCACAGCCAACTGTTTTTTATTTAAAAAAAGCTCTGATACAGCTAGTACCTACCTGCTGCTACCATCAAACTGCAGACAGACACAGTTCACTTTTAACTTGCTGAGTAAAGTAAAGCATGTAGCTGATATGGAGACAGATTTTTTCTTAGGAGTAGATGGAGATTTGATTTCAATGGCATCGCAGCCAATAATTCTTTATCTGGTCACATAGTCAAATGTTAAAGCTATCATCCAGCTGCAGGTTGTATGTTTATGAGAATGGGAATGGTGTCCTAGTTGTATTCTATTCAACTGGATCGATAAAAGCATCCCTCGAACATAACCAACATATATATATAGAACAAATTGTCAGACTGCGTTCGGTCTTCATATATAACAATAAAACAAGATTTTAGCGTTTGTTAAACCCTGGGCAATCATTTTAATTTTTTCATGTCGGCATCTGTCAGATCACATAAATACCTTTTTTAAAGATCCAAACCACTGGATCCATCTTTTTAAAATAACATCTAAGGTTTGCAAAGGAAAAACATGACTAGATGACAGTATAGTGTGCTGAAATGACACGTTGTGGAGACCAAACCGGAGCTAAAATTGGTTAGTATTGGACTTTCATTAATTTGTTGGAGACTCCAATTACATGATAACATTGCTGTGTGTTTGCTGCATGTATACAGTGGGGCAAAAAAGTATTTAGTCAGCCAACAATTGTGCAAGTTCTCCCACTTAAAAAGATGAGAGAGGCCTGTAATTTAAGTATTTAAATAAGTATTTGGTCAATAACAAAAGTTCATCTCAATACTTTGTTATATACCCTTTGTTGGCAATGACAGAGGTCAAACGTTTTCTGTAAGTGACACAACAATGGTGGTTGACTAAATACTCTTTTGCCCCACTGTATATACCAATTCTGACACTTCTACATCCAACTCACAGATGTAACCTTGCTTTGAGAAAAAAGATTATTAATTTAACCCTTTTAGAAGGGAAGATATGGTCATTCGTTCTGGGAATGTCATTTTCGAGCCTGAGACCTGAAAAACAGGCTCGGGGCTTAACTTGTTCTGCTAAACATGTATTGAGGTACTTAAAGGGCACAATTAATCAGGAGCTATGTTTTAAACAACAAGATGAAAAACTGAAACTTGTTGCATGATGCGGATTGGGCAACAGACCAAAATGACAGATGGAGTATAACAGGGTACTGTTTTAGTCTAACTAGCAATGGGCCTGTTATTTCTTGGAGATCAAAGAAACAGCAAACAGTAGCTTTGCCGACATGTGAGGCAGAGCACATGGCACTGGCTGCCACAGCACAAGAGAGTTTGTATCTTGTGCAGCTAATAAAGAGCATGGACAGTGAGGGTCAATATACTCCTGTGAACATCTTTGAAGATAACCAGGGTGCAATTGCTCTATCCAAGAACATAGTATGTCGTCAACGATGTAAACATGTGGATATCAAGTATCATTTTGTGATAACATGATAACCATTGACTATTGCCCTACAGGTTGCTGATATTTTCACTAAGCCTGCAACAAAGGTCAAAAGGGAGACATTTGTAAAGTATTTGTTTGGAATGTAAATAGCCCCAGAAGTTTCAAACACTGTTATTGTGCAAGTGTACAAGGTGTTTACATTTTAACTTATGTTGAGAATTTGTTTGTGCAGTATAAGAGTAAGTGGGGGTGTTGAATTATGAATTGTAAGATATGAATTTGTTTATTTAATACTCTTATAATCACTTCCTGTATTCCCGTGATAAAAGGGACATGCGCAATAAAACATGTCACTTCCGGTTGAAGCAAAGCCGACGGTGTATGTGTATTTACTCCTCTGTCACGTTAAACTATGTTCACGGTATTCCTGCCTTAAGATCATGGCATCGTCAACAATAACAATGTCAACTTTATTCATCATTTCCATGCAATATTCTGTATATTTCATTTCTCTTTTTACTTTGTATTATAATTTTTCACAGTGCAAACCAAACATATGTACAAACAAAAAGTATTTATAACCAACATAAGTACACATAATGAAGAAGAATGAAGATAAATAATGACAATAAAGAAAAGAATATATACAATAAGTAAAGAAAGGAGTAGGAAAAGGAAAGACAAAAGGAGGATGTTAGATAGGGTATTGTGATGTATCAGCTCAAGTTGTTCTGATGTAGTGGGGAGGACCCAGCTCTGGATGTAGTGGGGAGGACCCAGCTCTGTAGTGGGGAGGACCCAGCTCTGGGTGTAGTGGGGAGGACCCAGCTCTGGGTGTAGTGGGGAGGACCCAGCTCTGGATGTAGTGGGGAGGACCCAGCTCTGGATGTAGTGGGGAGGACCCAGCTCTGGGTCTAGTGCAGGAGAGGACAGCAGCTGTGATTGAAGTGGTTTAGATTGTCATTGTTTATTTAGGGTGCGTTCACACCAGCCTTGTATAGTCCGGTTGAATCAAACCCTGGTGCGTTTAGCCGCTTGGTGCGGTTCATTTGGGTCGGTTTGAACACAGTCCGAGACCTCTTAAGTGAACTAAACAACCGGACTCTGGTCCACTAAAATAGGTGGTCTCGGAGCGCTTGCTAGTGAACTCTGGAGCGGTTCATTGCTGGTGTGAACGCAGTCCGCACCAAAACATAGGAAGCGCAGTATTTACGCGTCACAAGAACGAGATGTCTTCAAAAGTCTTTAGCGAAAGAGTCTTTCAAGACATCCGCGGTTGTTTGGTTAAAGAGTGAAGCAGAATTAAGTGTTGAACAGTGTCGTGTAAAGTAAAAATGCTCCGTCATCTACATAAAATTAAGAACACCTGTCGTCGGTGAAACCCCCCTCCTGACTGCAGAACGTCTCTCATTATATGTGTTATAATGTTTTTTAATGGACGTTGTCTGATTATATAATCATATGCGCAGGCCGCTAGTGTCTGTTGATCTCCAGATTAACAGCAGCATGAGAATAACCTGCCGAAAGTGCCGATGCTCCATGGCGGAGGCTCCGGTAGAAATAGAGTGGCGAAGTCACGCCCATCTACTTCCGGTCCATGGGACCTTATTTCGGAAAAATTATGTATTGAAGTCAATGGAAAGAGAAAACTTATCTTTCGATCCCGTTTAAATTGTGCCACAAATTACACATATGATGTTCGTCAATCTTAAAAAATTATTTCCATGTCAAAAAAGTCACAGTTTGTCGTAAAACTGTTGAAATATAAGACTATGAAAAATACGCAACTAGAAAGACTACAAATCCCAGTAAGTGATGTCACAATTTTTTCCCCCCCGCTAAATATAAGAGATAGCTAAGATAAGATAACTTCAACAAGATGCCTGTGTGCTTAGTACCAGGTTGTTATCATACCAGCAATGGGTCTTGCTCGTTCTATTTCGTATATGGCTTCGCCCTCTAAGGCTATCGCTATTGGGTAATCCCCCTGCGCCCCC